GGGAGCGAAACCTGAGGGGAGGGACGTCCTCAGGCGGGGCGAGGCGACCCTCTGCCGTCCCCATTCCGACCTGAGGCGCGTCCGGTGGGTGGGTGTTTTAAGGAGCAGCGGCCCGGGCCAGACCACGGTTTACCTTCCCGGTATTTCTTGCGAAGGCGCCGGTGGACGCTTTTCACCACCCCGGAGAGCTTCTCCTGCTGCCGTTTCCGTTCCTGTTCGCGGGGCTGAGGCTCAGGCGGGAAGGCGGCAGAGGCCCCCGCAGCGGAACCCCCGGTGTGGGTCCAGGGCTCAGGCTCCATCCTGATGGCGCTCCGCCTCCCCTCCCCTCACAGGCCGTCTCTCTCTTCCCCAGAAAGGGGGCGGCGGCAGCGGCCGTCCTCGGACTCTTGTCTCTATGGCTCTGCAGGCGGGGTTAAAGTTTGCGGACGGGCGCAATCAGGTGACGCACTGCCGCGCCCGTGGCTTGCTGGGAAACGTAGTCTTTCGAGCCCCCACATTTAACCTGCCTGCGGCTGCCCCTGCCTCTTTCGCCCCCCCCCCCCGTCACCTTTATCTTTGTGTTGGGCAAAACCAAATATCCTTGTGAAGGAAAAGCGGCAAGGTTTGTGTAAGCACGAAAGAAAGGTGAATTCCTGAAACAATGATAGTAAGCAGGGAATTTCCCTGCCTCCACCATGGTCTCTCTCCCCCCCCACATCCATTCATACGTAATCTAAAACGACGCCCAGGTCTGTCAATTGGAAATAAGGAGGGCAGCTGTACAAAGCTCCCTGGGAAACGAGAGTGGCGAGCGACTGCTGGAATGGCTGGGCTCCCAGAGAGTGCAGGCAACAAATAAAAGCAGGACTGGATCCCTCAGGAAAATGGAACGGGTCACAGGAATTTAAAATAAAGGGATGATAGTCTGAATAAATAACTTTCATACTGGCTTTTAAATTGTAATGTTTATGCCTGCTTTAATATGATTTTAAAATGTTTTGCTGGCCCATACCTTACATATACTGTATGTGGTTTTATTTTGTGACTAAAGATCCATTTTTAACTCCACTTTCTGCTATGATAAAAATCAGTCTTCTTGAAAGCGTTGTCCCTTTATTATAAGCTATTCTGAGAGCCTTAAAGTAAGCTGTGGAATTGGTCAAAATGCAATGAAACTTACCTCTTCTGTTATCTCCTCCTGAACCAGTGTCTGGCCTTCTCATTTTGTTCAGTTGAAAAAGAGCTGGCAAGACTGAAGTTTGCTTTCTCTAAGTAGTCAGTGCAGCCTTCATACCCAGTGCACTTGGCTGTACAGCAGCTCTCAAATATGACACCTGGGCCTGTTGACCCATTTATCCAGTTGGCGGGCTGGTCCTGAAAGCTAAAAGGTTAGACAATGTGGAGTCCTTGGTGGGTGACGGGAATTTAGAGGCAAGTGTTCTGCAGAAATTAATCTACAGTACTACTATTGTAAAGCTTTCCCCTCCCTTTCCTCTCCCTTATGCTCTGTTGCATGTATTTCTTCTTAAAAGATAAGCTTGTAGCCATCATAGGTGTTGAATTTGTCATTTTTTGCTAGAAGGACTGTTAATCCTTCACAGCTGCATGATTAGCAGAAAATCCAGTGAAACTTAAGCAACTCACTTGTTAAATATCTTGCTTATCTAGCAGGTTTTAAAAGTGCAGTCTTGTTAGGAAAAATAAAAATAATTCAGATTATGAGAGGTAGTTTTACAGTTAATTTGAATTAGATGTTTTACTTTTGTCTGTTTGAATGTTGCTGTCTTGTCTAAACATCCAACAGGATAATTAATCTCAGATCTGTATGGATAGGAATTTTAGACTGATGTTTAAGGACTAACTTAGTGGGATAAATCTATTAATTAGTGCCAATTACACTAGACCCATTGAAGTCAATGGGACTTGCATAAGGGATGATTAACATGTCATATTCATTTTAATGGATTTACTCTATTGGGACTTACAATTAATTCAGGCAAGTATATTTATGCACAATTATATTTTCTGAAGCTGGGATCTTATGTCTTTATTGTTGCATGTTTATAGTCTGGCTAAAAGATTGAGTTATAAGCTAGGAAACTCCTGGTTATGAAATCTCAACTCTTCTTTTAGCTTCAGCAGTTCGGATATATAGCCCTCCAGATATTATTAAACTTCAGGTCCCAGCATCCCTCACTAACTGAGTATCCTTCTAGGGGTAGGAGTCACAGTCCAGTAACATCTAGTGGGACACAACTGAAGCATCCTTAACTTTCTAGGTGGCCTTAGATGAGGCATTATTATTATTTCACGTTGTAATTCATTCATACCTTTGTTTGGTCAGAGATGGTTTTCAAGATGGCTAACATGATAATAAATACAGATGAAAACAACATCTCAATCAAAACATTAAATGTTCATAAAATTTCACACTAAAAAGAAATAACAGTTAAAAAAATCCTTCAGCAATGAATCTGTTTAGATGCCAAATATTTGTCTGAAGTTTTCTGTTGTTAGAAGGATTAAAAAGACTCAAGTTAGCCTGCTTTGGAGAGGATATTTGAGAAGTTGGGCACTGCTGTTTAGAAAGCAATCTCCAGTTATGGTGAGATTGAAAAGGGACCTTCATCAAAGACTGATATGGGAGAAAATAATAATTCAACAACCTGTTCCCAAAAAGGAAGGGATGTTGAGTTCATCAGGGTGTGTTCCTAGCCAAATGAATTCAGAACTGCAGCCTCAGCCTTTACAGTAGAACAATGTACCATTGTATGTTACACAGGGGTATACTCAGTGTGGTATAATGGCTTAGGACCCGGGAGATGTGGGTTCAGTTTCCTGCTTGGCCATGGAAACTTACTGGGGGTGCAGAATTGGTAAAGCCATTCCTTTAGAATTTCTTTTACCTTGAAGGCCCTACTAAGGTTGCCAGAAGTCAGTTCAGACTTGATAGCACATAATAACAGCTTTACACAAGGCCGTTTTGAAGCTTACCACGTGTTGCAAAGTTTACTTCACCACTATTGCATCTATATAATGGCACAAAATAGAGCTCTTCCTGGCTAATGATATATATTTTATGTATAGTCCTATAAGGGGAGGTGTAAGAACTGTAAGTGATATACTATGGCCACTCACATTGTGAAGAAAATCGCTTGCAGGCTTTCAGACCTTCCTAGTAGCAACAGATGGTATTTTGAATATATCCACTTTGTTTGCTTCCTCTGGGATTTTTGGTTCTTTTCCCATTTGTGAATACAGAAAAGATCCCAGAAGAGGTGAGATCTAATTTTCATACTTTAGATTCTTCCATCAAGGTATGTAGAATCAGGTAAGAGAGCAGAGGAAGGAGACAAGGAGTGCTTGTCAGTGAGAATAGCTATCATGAAAGAGTTTAGAAGATGTTTAGCATCAGGAAAAATATCAGCATTTGTAGTAGGTGTAATAGGAGCCTCCATGTGTAATTGTTGCCACATGTAACAATGCTTACAGAATACAGAGAGCACAGAAAGGAAATTTACAAATATGGAAAACTTGCTGTATAACTATACTATTATTTGCTTTCTAATTTCATATTCGTGTGTTTCCTTAATACTGTATTTGTTTTTTTCACTGTTCACATTGCAGATGGATATATGTGCTCTGACTTTACTTAATACACCACTTAAGCTTTCTATGATAAAGGCTCTTACAACTTCTTTACAGTCATTGTAGTACAATAAAAAAATGTAATCAGCCACAATACAGTTTTTGACAGTTCATATGATTCATAAATCCATTGTTTACAAAATTATTTTTCAAGTATTTCCACAGTTTGTATTTGCTGAGCCTTGAGCTCCTGGTATGCCTTGCAGTGATTTTGCCCATTTCATGATCTTTCTTCAGAAACAAATTCTCAGTGCTTAAATCTTCCCATTGGAGCCCATATCTTTTTCTAAAATACACTCCAATCCTTTACAGCATGGCAAAACCTTCTGAAATTCTCTTAGTTGGGGAAAAAAGTTCCAAAGACGTTTGGCATGGAGACGTCAGGAAAATTTCAGTGTTTGTAGTAGATGTAATAAGAGCCTTCACATGTAATTGTTGCCACACATAACAATGCTGGCAGATTCCATCTGCCACAGGAAGATTGTCCAATTGACTTGTGAATTAGAATTACTCACTTCTCTTTGGCACATGAGTGATGCCTGTGGTTTCAAAGGAAGCTGTGGAAGGCTACTTCTACTAAGTATGTACGTTCTCAACCCAAGAGTTGTTAAATTTTGCCCAATCTCCCATTTGACTGATTATAAAACTTATTACTGCAACTGGTGCAACCTTTCTCTAGGATACATTTTGCAAGACTGGTTATCTGAATACATATACTGTACATTTTGTTGTGGGTTCCAGCCTTGTTGAGAGATGAAAACATCAATATGAGTCCAGGAAACACAGATAAATATCTAGAAAGCAAATATAAGTGTTTGTTCATTTAAGTTTATTTTACTTTAATAGTTAATTTTAAAAGCAACCACTGCCCTGGAAACTGTTTTGAACCTTTCATGCACACAATGGGATCCTCAGCATTTTGTATGAAGTATCCCATTCATACTGGGTGTTTCCATTTGTTTCAGGAGACTTATATATTGCTGTGGAAAACTTTTTGCTGAGTCAGTCTCAGGAACAGTTGAGTCATTAATTAATTCTCTAGGTCATACCCACATGCCCACTATGGTCAACAAGGATGATCCCGGTGCACTAGCATATATTGTGTATTAGCAAACCATTTTGCCTCTGCAGAATAATGTCAGTGTTTACTAAGCATTTGAGAGAATTAATCTTGTCTCAACAATGCTCCTCCCCAATTCTGTTTTTTCTTCTGTGCCTAAGTATCTTGTTGACTACTGTTTTTCTTTCTCTTTTTATGATTCATGTCTGTGACAAGCTATTACTGATTTTCAGCATGAGCTTTTTTCGTTGTTGACCTTTGGCAGGCATAGGAATTTGATTCTGTTTTTGCTTTTTTAATCTAGCAAGTATTGTCAAAACACCCCAGCTGGTCCAACTGGTTCTTCTGTTCTGATGCCACTCACAATGTTCTATGTCTTTTGCACAGATTCATTATTCTGTCAGCACTTGCTATGTATAATCTTGCTTACTAGTCAGTTCAGGTGAAGTATGCTGAGAGGAGTCCACTGATGTCAAGAAATGACAGGATGGCAGATGTATGGAGGACTAATCGAAAGTGGCTGACAATATTGAAAAGATAGATCGAGATTAATGAATGTTCATGCAATTTGGATAAGCTTCAACAGGTAACACACGATGGAAACCCTATGCAAATGAAGTCCATAAACCAAACCAATGATTCATAATCATATACTATGCAAATCATATGTACTATTTTTTCTCACTGCAGATCTTTAAAACATTATTCATTCATTTTGAAACCACAGATGTTGAAGAAATGTAAGGAAATATATGAAGGAAAGAGGTATATAAATCATCCAGATATGAAGGCAAAGAACAAGAAGGCACCCTCTTCTATCCCACATAGAAAAATTAGCTGAGTTGGTGGTTGAATCTTTCCTCTGCACAGGAGATGGGAAGGCATTCTTCACTCCACCTAGAAATAGCAGGTTAGCTAAAGGGGTGCAGGTCAGGTCATGTGACCCATAATTTTCTCCTCCTAACAGCTTACTACGATTTTTTGCAACATGTGCCACCAGAGGTAACTATCTCAGTCTACCTAACAAGAGGGCCAGTCCTGAAAATATAAAGAAAATTCAAAACTGCCCTATAAATGTTTACCAGCAGTTCAAAACAAGCCTAAACTATGAGTGAAATGGCAAACTGTGCATTCTGTGGTGCCATGTTACTGTGGCACCATAGAATGCACAGAATGGTGCCATGTGTTGAAACCTGAGGACTGGTGAATATAAAAACTCCAAGGGGTAAACACTGAGTGAAAGCAGTATGATATTGATTTAGCAGGACAAAGATTGGGAGTCAAACAGCTCTGTGAAGTAACTGCTACAAGTACTGTAGTTACCTGCAGCTAGTTCCTTTTTGGACAATGTAAATACTGTACAGTACAGTCCTTCAGTTTACTTTTGGCAACAAGTTATATGATTGGTAGTAACAAAGTTATACCAAATAGAATGCAACAGTTGCAAAGCTTTTTTTTAGGCATAGTGAATAACAGTGTCTAGTTATTTTCAAAACTTTCTTTTGAAGGTCATTTAAAGAGATTTTTACAGGCATTCTCAGCTTTTATGCCATTCTCTTATCAAAGTTGCCGCTTCTATTCTTTTTAATATTTCTGTAAATATTTCCAAGACACAATTGAAGAAAATACAGTATATTTCTCTTTATTCTCTGCCCTGGGTGTAAGGTCAGTGCAACACATTAACAGTGTACAATGCAAGGAATTACTTGCATGTTTGGAGCAGCGGTAGCAGCAGTGAAATGGACTCTTTCCACCTTCAGCATGGATTGCTCAGAGAACTGTCTTTCTGCCTGGAGAAACTTAGCAATTCCCTGAGACCTGGCAGTCTTGCAAGAGATCCTTATTGTGGCCCAGGATATTCAGTCAAGCAAGAAACACTTTGGTGAGGTCATCCAGAGGTTTTGGCTAGAACAACATCACTATGCCGATGACACCACCTGATGTTAGAAGACAGTGGAAAATCAGCCTGTTTCTGGAATTTTTCAAAGTGGAGTATAAATATTTAAAACAGCTGACATTTTTCCATCATCAAAACTCTTGAATCATCTGTTCTTACTTTCCTCATGAATTGGATGTGTTTCTATTAAAAGTCTGGCACTTTGGGTCATCTTTAACAGCCACTTCATTGGCTTGCCTTTGTTTATTTTGCAGATTTCTGTGCTCCTTTTTACCAGTTTACTGGCTCAGTTTCTTCCAAGTAATAAAGTGATTGACAATAGCATTTTCTAATTTCAACTTGTCTGCTAGTTCAACTTATGAGGTACACATTTTGCACATCTGTAGCTTGCAAAAATGATTTGTGGAGCTAAGTACTGTAATGGAAAGATCAAGTTGGCGTTAGGAGGGACCTTAGATTTGATGTTGTAGAACGGATAGATTTTGCTGCTTGCACACTCTGTAATGCAGCCATTCTCAACAGGGGCTTTATAAGGTTTGTTATCTAACCTATACAATCCTGATTTGGACTATATTTCATTCATATTATGTTTATGACCATGGCCAAAAAAGGGTTGCGAATGGCTGGTCCAGTGAACAACAGAAATTGTTGATATTTCTGCTTAATTTTAATTTTTGTGAAAGCCCAGAAATTTTGAAATAGAAACAATAACAGAATAATGAAACACAAAGAAATGAAAGTGCAATAGCACTGTGTGCACTGAGGGTTGGAGAATATATTAGGAGAAAAAGAGACAGAAGAGACATGAAGAATGATTTTAATAAATTTGTTTTCTCTAAAATTGCAAACATTTTTACTGGCCTCCTTCTGTTTATAGTCCTATACTGTCTTAAATTGTACAGTTCATCTAGTGGTGATTTATGAGAAGAGTCCACATTCTCTTCCCCATAGAACAGAGGTGGGCAAATTCCAGCCTTTTAAGAGCCCCAAGGCCAGTTGAGGACACCTCCCCCCATCATAGCTATTATGTAAGTACCTGTTTGATTGTCCTTTAAAAGTCCTACATCTACTCCTCAAGGCCTCCAATAGTGGCAGTTTTAGCACTGGAGATCCTGGGGTGGTCCCATAGTGTCCAACATGCCCAACTTCCAAAAATGAAACGGGAAGTGCTCATCTGTGTGTTTTTTTAAATGGCCCAAAATCTATTTCTGAGGTTGGTGCAGCTTACAGTAGGGTATAGGGACCAATATTTAGCCTCAAAACCCACCAAAGATGCCTAACCTTACCATAGAAACTAATGGTTGTGTCTGTGTTTTTTTTCTTGTTTCTTTTTGCAACCTTGCATGTGTTACATGCTGTCAAGTCAGAATGGACTTACAGCAACCCTAATAGGGCTTTAAAGATAAGAGCTATTAAGGAATGGCTTGAGTAGCATCCCTCACCCCCCCACCTCATTAGTTTCTATGCTGAATTGAGATTCAAACTCTGTTCTCAAGAGTCCCAGTCTGTTACTCTATCCATTGCACACTATTCAATTTTTATCTGCCTGGTTTTAGGTAACCCAGTCATTAATTCCATGCTTACCTTTTTCAATGTTTTTGCTTACCTGTAGAGCCCACAGATGAGCAAGAGTTTATCTGCTTCAAAAATATTTCTCTGTATATGGAGAAAGCAATGAAGAGGGGAACAACTGGTCACCTCTCTCTGAGCATAGTAATAAAAAAACCAGGTAGGCAATAATTGAATAGCTTTCTTTTTTACTGTGGTTATTTACTGATGATGAATTCTGCTTATTAATCATTCTACCTTTTGAAGGCTTATTCTACGCCTGCTACTAAAGGCTCTTTCTATGCCTGCTACTCAAGTGGGCAATTCTGAGTGGCAATTACGGAGTAGAAGTTGTGGTTTTCTAACCTTGCCCTCTTGTTGGACTAGTGTGTGGTGGAAGATGTCTGAACCTAGAATGTGTTTCCAGGGGCAGCGTTTGAGCATAACATTAACTGTGCATGAGGGGCAGAATTCAGAGTAGGGAACATGCCTTGAGGGTGATAGTAGGAAACAAGCAGGTTGAAGGGCCACACCGAAAGAACTCGGGGGCTGCGTGTGGCTGCATTCTGTTGTTGGTGTTGTCAACACTCAGGCTGCCCTTTGCTGTGTAAAGCTTGGCATCCTTTCTCCTGCTGGCAACAATGGCATGATGTTGTGTATCAGTATTAAGCCATCTCCTGGCATTTTGAATCCAGGATGCAGAAGCACAATATTCTATATTAATAAATGGGAAGTTTATTGAAGGATTGTATTTCCTGGCTTCTAGAAGTGTATGTTTAAGTATGCATATAGTACACTACACACAAATTCCAACAGAAACTTCCTTCATTTAGAATTACCCAGTGCTAGATGATCCCAGAAGATGAGCACATGATTTGTACTATTGTTGCTGGGAGAGGACACAAGCAAGAACAACTGGAATGTGGCTACAGTCCCTCTGTTAAAATATGAATTACCTTGAGATACATGGCAAAATGTTCTTTTCTGCAGGCCTGACACTCCATTACTTGCTTACTTTCTTTTTTAAAGCAAACCTATTATTTTGGCTTTCAAAGAGAACCTGTCTTTTGACTCTCTGACATTTTATTGCCCTCTTTAACACCTCCCTTCCCAGTCCATGAAGCTACAATAATGTATCTACTTTGGAACGCTCTTGCTGGTAAGTCTATGCGTGCTTGGATTATAATAGTCAGGTTTACCCTTTTGAAAGGCCTTTTTTGAGGATCAATATCTCAGACCCAGTAGCCTGGATTCCTTCCAAATAAAATAAAGCAGGTAGGACCAAAGAATTCTCTTTAAGATAAGTAAGATTGGTATTTTCAATTTATTTTATCTGTTTTAAATCTGGGAATGTTTAAGGTCAATCATTTCTGCATGGGGACATAAAATTGATTTATTACTTAAAAATCATATCATGAAAATCTTTTGCCCAAACTTTCCCAAATTTAGCACAGACCAAGAACAGTCTCTCTGATACATATGTACCAAATTTTGTGCTGATTTGAAGTCCAGTTTTAAAGTTGCAATTTGGGGAGGCTATCCCCAACTTTTTAACTGCCTTGTAGAATGTTTTTGTTCTGCTGCACAATAACATCATTGCATTCCTATGCAGTGACAATGTCTGATGGTTACAGCAGGACCTATTTATACCCAGCATAACTTGAAAATCAGCTTACTTTGTTTTATGATTGGTCATCAAGAGGTAAGTATGATTGCTCAGTCCCAAAAGGCTCCCAGAATAAATTTCATCTTCTAATCACTGGCTATCTGAAAAGTATACTTTGGCCCTGAGGGAATTCTCAGCAACGTCACTAAAGTACAGTTTGCTAGCTCTTTTGAAACACTGCATGGTAGCTAAATGGCTATAAAATTGATATATGTTTCTAGTGCAGATGAGACCTATCACTCCGTCACCCTTAATGAGACTGATTCTTTATGTAGCCTTGAATGATATAGGTTCTGTGGCCAAAATGGTGATGTTACATTGCTATTGCTGTTTGCAGATGGTTCAGGACAGCTAGTGCATTTGCATTGTATCTGATGCAGGAAGGGTGTAAGGTACACATGCCACAGAATGGGATCTGTAGCATTGGAAAGGATCAAAAATCTTGGGTGGTTCATTTGCAACAGTAATTTGAAAATCCTATTCTTAGAAATGCAGTCTACTTTTTGTTCTGTTAGAAATAAAAGTAATTTTCAGAGTAAGTGATTTTGCAAATACATATGGAAAATCCCTAGGAGGAAATAAAAATACATCTTCAAACTTAGATTTAGCTATTTTGCTACTACATGTACCCCGGGGAAGGGAATCCAGTTGGTTTTGCAGCTGCTTTTGTAGCTGATGTCATCTCTTGGTACTCATTCCCTTCAGGTATAAAAGCTTTTTGAAAAGAAAGGAGCTATTTAAGTGAGGAAGCAAGAGTACCAAATGATGTTATTTGAGTCATTCCCATGCTTTTTAGCCATGCCTGCAGGTCATGTTAATTGCAGTTCACCCTTTTTTTTGATCTCCCAAATTATCCTCTATAAACAAAATGCAGTATAAAAGTCTGCACCATCTGCAGCACACAAATGAAGGGTTCAGCAAACAGTTTTTCTTGCAAGCCTGAATGTTCCACAATTCTTGCTTGCAAACATAACAGCAAAACTGGTAAACAAGGAAATGAACGATAACATCTTCATTCCTATTGAGCAAATCAAAACTGCATGCATTAGCAGTCTTATGCATATTTATTCTGGATCATGCATTATGGTGTAGATTAGATGGGATGTCATGGGAAGTTATCACTCAACAGACCAAAAAATTCTCTTCTGAAAATGTTCTTTCCAAATGAATGGGAGGTCCTGTTCCAAAAAGCTGTGGCTTGTTGTACTAGTGATGTTGCATCTTCACTGCCAACATTGTAAACAGCATGACTTTGAACAATTGCCATTCATTTCAGAATGGCCCGATGGGATAATATTCCCTTGGATTCCCCCCATTGGAGTAAAATACTTGTTGGTGACTAATGCTGAAATACAGATGCATGGGGAATCCCAATATATATTATTAGAAGCTCTGCATCTGCCTTTATAAACCTAACCTGTGAATGGTTCGATGGCTTTTTAAAATCGGTACGTGCACAATGTCATTGCTGTGGAAACAGTTGTTCTGTCTATATTAGGCAATATATTATTCAGCCATTGTTTATATGTTGTGCAGTGTACAGTGAAGAACACTGTATAAACAGTTCCATCAAACCAACTGAGCAGCATAACGATATAGCCTCAGTGTATACTTGCTCTCTCCTTTTATAGAAAGTGTAATAAGCAAACGCTTGCAGTTGTCCTATGGGAACTGCAGTTTAAACTGAAAATTATTTTGACGTATGTGCAGTGTACTGTATGGTACAGAAGCCTTCCCTAATAAACTGTAATAGCTGTGGGGAACATGAATTCCAGCAAAGAGAATGGAGGAAAAGAAACCTACGCTATGTGTAGTCCATTCACAGGGCTTGAGAAGGAAGAAAGTATGAGGAAATGTGAATCTGTTTTATAGTTAGGGCTTTGTTCCAGATAAACACAGTGTAGTCCAATGCATTTCTGCACAGAAATAAGTCTTACTGAGTGCAGTGAGCGTTTAGCTGCAACAGACTTACCCTGAGGTTGTTGGAAGATTCTTTTGAAAGCATCATCTCTTTGTAACTATCTGTCACAAATGTCCAATACAGACATTTGGGAATAGAGCAGTTTGTATCTGTCCTTTTTATTGGCTGTTTCTTTCCCTTCCCATTGCGCCAAATAGAGGAAAGGGTTTACCTGTGGCTGAGTTAATCTTCACTTTCTTTTCAAGATGTTACCACCTCTCCCCTTTGAATTATGTGTTCCAGATATAAGCATACAGTCGGCTATTAGGTAGGAATCAGGCTTTCCTATCAACATACTTTGTAAACAAATTTTAGTGGTTATTTTACTTAAATATAAGCCTCTAGCTAGTCTCCAGAGTACATATTAACAAAAGTGGGTTTAAATGCCTACAGGAAAAGCCATGACAGCTAGTCTGCTAATAAATGGAATCTTCTGCCCCTTCCCCCAAAAAACACCAAATATATGAGAGGAATAAGTTTCACTGAACTTAGTGGGGATACCTCTCAGCAGACATGAATTTGCATTGACAGTGTTTTGTGGTTTTAATTGTAGAACATGGTGGCTATGGCAGCTCTAACAGATCCCCTCCAAATGAAAAATCTACTGTCACCACTGTTGGCTAGCCTTTTTTTCTTTTTCTTTTTCAAATAATAGTATCAATTCAGGTATTTATAATTGTTGAGAATATGGGGGCACTGTAAGATGGTAAGGACAGAACTTGGAAAAATAACTTCATTAAACTACAAATTCCAAAACCACCGCCTCTCCATCCAGCATCATCAATAGCCATTCTGGCTGGTGACTTCTGGAATTTGTAGTTCATAAAAGCAACTTTTGCAGGCTCTATGGAAC